ATTACTAGCAGTTAAGACACACAGTAAACATAGATATACGGTTACGACAGCGGAAGTCACGCTGGGAGCATGCGCGCTGGAGTTTCTAGAAGGGTCGTGACTTATTGGGCAACCTCACGAATGTCCCAGCGTTTGCTAGACGCCCTCTTTTTTAGTATATAAGCCGGAGACAGATTGAAGAGAAATAATTGATAATTGAGTCAAGCGAACAGTAGATACCGTAAGTAAAGTGTGTGAATCGCTTTGAATTATAGCGTGTGTTTATAAACGTAGTTAAGTTTAAAGTGACTGTGGAAGTTAAGTGTATTACAAAGTTTGTATCGAGAAAGAATAAACTAGTTTTAATCAAGAAGGGACTCGTATCGCTGAAGTCACTCGGAAAGAATTTTTACCGGAAATTATCAAACAAGCAGATACGCAACAATACTTTTATTTGGAATTAATTGCAAGAAATATTTATCCTAAGATGTCTTTAAAGAAACAAAAACACAAAATTTAAGATGCTACTAGCCTTCAATGAAATATATTAAAACAGTAACTCCCCTCACCCTCTATAATTAAGCTGTAAGTTTCCTGTCTACTCGGGTGTGTCGTGAATTCAGGAAGTTTGGGAACTCCTGAGCTATAGAGTGTAAAACACTAAAGATGGTAATCTTGAGAAGATCACGCACTGTACCGATAAGTAACCAATAATATTGGATACACTTCAATGTTTCATAAAATTTTACATTAATAACTAAATATTCAATGGCGTCTTATGAAATTTTCTTGGTACTCTTTCTTTCATTTTTTAAAATATTTTTTTACAAGTTACAGGTTTTACAGTAAAGAAGAATATCTATCTAAAAAGGTACATTCTGATTAACGAAGTTAGCACACAGGATCACATACAAAAGTTGTAATGGTTTTCAAACGAGACAGAAGCCATTTAAAATATATTCTTCCTTATTGTTTGTTTGTTTGTTTTTAATTATGCACAAAGCTACACAAGGGCTATCTGTGCTCTGCCCACCACGGGTATCGAAACCCGGATTCTAGCGTTGTAAGTCCGCAGACATACCGCTGTGCCACTGGGGGGCTCTTCCTTATTATAAAATCATTAAGTAAATTCAAGCGAAACTAGTCATTCTTTCATTTATTTTTTTTACATGTTACAGCTTTTACAGTAAAGAAAATATTTTTTAAACAGTACAGTATTCGTTTAAAAATAATCTTATTTACAGTTAAATTACTAAGGAAACTCAAGCGAAACTCTTCACTGTTTCATTTATCAAAAAAAAAAGTTTTAATGTTAATCGCAAATGAATTTTTTTACACTTGAATTTATTTCAGTATTACTTTATGTAACATTTCTTAATGTTAACGTCCTAGTTTTATTGTTGGTATGTAACATTTCTTAATTTTAACGTCCTAGTTTTATTGTTGGTATTATAGTTCTGTGTCACTATGTTCCTTCACATTGTTTATTTTGATCGTTAAAAATGAATTACGTATTTCCTGTTGGAGCTGAAGTAGTCGTTATTTTTTTACATTGTTGTTTATATTTTCTATCGAAAAGCTAACAATGGGCTATCTGCGCTCTGTCCAAATCGAGCCCTGCATTTTAGAGTTGTAAGTCCGTAAACTTAACGGGAACATTTGTTTTCGAAACTAAATATATATTTTTTTGTCCTTCATACTTCATTGAGAAACTAAGAAATTAATTTAAAAATGGTATTTTTATTTATTAACGAAAGATTCCCGATGGCTCAGCTTTGAGGTCCTATAATGCTAAAAATCCGTGGTTTCGATTCACCGTAATAGCTCATTGTGAAACTTTGTACTTAATCATAAACAAACAAATAAATGCCAGTGAATCGTCTGATATGAAGATCTGCAAACATTGTGCTGGATACAAAAAATAAATAAATAAAAGATTCAATAAAACGAGATAAACTTGTGTTTTAGACGCCATTTTTTAACATAGTATTAACATAAATAATTTGAAAATTGTTGCTGTAAATGATTACAAGTATTTTAGTGGGATTGGCCAGCTGATATGGCCAACATCAACTGATTGTGGCCCAGTTCTAACTGAGGGATGGTTTAGTAAGCAATTGTATATAATGTTTTATATTGTAAATAATTATTTTATAATGATGTTTCCATTTTTTAGTGTAGATGTTTATGTTTTAAAATTTTCTTACATTTTTGTTTTGACTGCCGCCAGTGATGAAAGGAAAACAACATGTACTTTTCTATACTTTAATACTGTTTATATACATATATATATATATATGTAGATTTACCTCCCCCCCCCTCTCACCACCACGGTGGTTCAGTAGTAAATCTGAGGGCTTCTACCACTAAAAATGAGTTTTGGTACTTGCTATGAACAAAGCACAGATAACCCATTGTGCTTAACAACAAACAAACAATATATAATTTACCTGTGAAAAAAAAGTTTGTTTGTACGTAGGTGTGTAAATAGCTCAGCAGTAGTGTGTGCGATGTTCTATTT